TTGCAGGGTCAGCGAGCTTAAATGCGAAGCCATAGAAATTCAAACCCATAACTATTTTATCACGAGCCAACCCGGCCCTAATCCAGGATTGGATGCAGGAACTCGTGCAGAGTCGGCCATGCCGCTCGTATAGAGGGGCATGAGAACTAGTAACCTGAAACGAATACGGCATGTAATAGTCATAAGCCTTAACGTTGACCCAGTCCAGATTCTCCTTCATTGAATCAACTGGGTAAGTTATTCTTGCACGGCCTGCACGACGTTCTGGGGAGTGATAAACAGATGCCGTTAAGAGCAATTCCGCCGGYTGGCTAGCGGAAGTTGCCTTGGCTTTCACGTTAGCTCTCCACTCCTTCAAAAGTAGACCCAGGTTAGTCRTATCATCAGTTTCGGTATCGAGGAAATTCCAGTCAAGGTTGAGCCCATCGAATGAATGTTTTAGAGCAATTTCTATGGAAGAATCAATGAATTCCTTCCGAGAAGTGRCATCACTTGCCATGGAAGAAAAATAGTCAGCTGGTATTGTGAAGGAACACAATAGTGAGCAAGAGTGCAAGAATGAACTTTTATTTTCCAAGACTACACTGCAACGTTGAGCAAGACTGAACTGTTATTCTTTTTCTTTTTTCACTTTTCGGTGAATGACCCACCTGTTCGAATTTCAGTTTAATCGAAACAACTGAATTAACCAAAAAAATTCGGTTTGGTTTGTTCGGTTTAATCAAACTTCGGTTTCCAATTCCACTGGTTCATCTTTGAAAAGTTTGGTTTGTTCGGTTCGATTTTAAACCGAACAAACCGTTTGCTCACCCCTACTGGCAGCTGCATAAGTTTTCCTATACAGATGCAATAACAGGGCAAAATCAATGGATGTGAATGTTTTGGTGCTCTATTGATCTGGGACCATTTCTGAATTGCCACATGTATTGTTGGATCAAAGCCTATGTGGTCGATTGAATCGAATTTGCATGGGTAGCAAAACAATAGTCTCCTAAGCAAACACATGAAAATCTAAAATATGAGCACCAACCAACCCCAAATCAAGAAAACCCATAAAAATAATAAAGGCCTTGTGTTTTAACATCTTACTTGGCTTCTTTTGTGGAATCTAAAATTGCTCTGTTCATGAACTCCTTACTATTCTTTTTCTGATTTCTTAACAAAACTAGGTGTAGCCATTGGTTGTTGTCTTTTGATAAATTAATGTTCCCGCCAAAAACAGTTGCATTAGTAAGAATATAAAATTGAACCAATATATAGATATAATAATAATAATCATAAGGTGAATTACACCGTCATCAGCCCATTGATCACACAAAAAAAAAAAAAAAAAAAATCGCATACCGAGTCTGGTACTAATTGTGGGAAATTATACAGTTCATTACTTCGATCCTTCTATAATGTGCTACAATGTGTATCACTTTATTTCACTTCTTTCTGGTCCTCTTCCTTCTCTACATAACACCGATTCATGCACACAGTCTAAGAGAAAGAAGAAACAAAGGTGAACAAATTGGTAAGTTGCAGATTGATACAAGCCAAGATGATATCTGCAAGAGATCTCAAGGATGGTATAACCAATGTGTACGCCAAGGTTTCTTTGAGCAACGATACTTCAGAGAGGAGGTTCGAAACTAAGGCAGACGAGACTGGTGGGAATAACCCCAAGTGGGTTACTGAAATGAGCTAATTCCATGTCGAAGAGTCAAAGCTCCAAGAGAACAAAGTGAAGCTCGTCATCGGGCTGTACAAGAAACGGTGTCCATGTATCTGCGATAAGAAGATAGGAAAGGTGAAGATCGCCTTGAAGGACCTCTTTAATAAGGGGAATCATCAAGAGTTTCGTCATGACCGTAACCTCTCGAAGAGAAAACGAATAGTGGAGTTTTCGTATCCTTTCTCACCAGATATCGTCACTGATTGTCGTCCTGGTCTATTGAAGAGAGGGATGAAATTCGTTTTCAAGGCAACCTTAAAGATTATCAGTGCAGGATTCTGTTCAGGATGTCTTTATTTTAATTTGTTCTCTCTCTCACTCACTCACTTTGGTGTGGTTATTTGTGGGAGAGAGAAACACCCTATATGCGATTCTCTCTCTTTCTCCCTCTCATTGTAGGGTCTCTCTGTAATTTGATTCGATATCTAATCTAGCGGATATCAAATATTTCAATTCGAATTAGATTTCTATTATATATTATCGATCATGACATTTGTGGAAATACGGGAGACGTCACTGAATTCATTACCTGTTCTGGGAAACCAACAATGCCTTTACTCATCGCTTGTAGAAAAAAAAAAGCTCAGATCAGCAACTTTGGCTTGCAATGTGGATGAACTTTGCAAAGTACAACAAAGTTGAGAGACAGATATTATATATATATATATAAGCATTCCACATTAGATTTAAAGAATAGAAGAATATGGCGTTTATGTTTTATATTTCATACAACACAAAATTGAAACTGAAATAACTCAATTTCCAGATTAGTAAATGATTTTACAATAAAAACTATGAAAAGGAAAGTAACTGCTGCATTTCTAACTAAGGCTTGACCAATTGAAGCTACATGCTGCAATACATAGGACACATTAAAGTTGCTATTTAAAACATGTTTTAAAGACAAATGCATCCTTATGTATTGATTTTTTCAGCAATTTGTTTGTCTTTTCACTAGGGATTTTCTCATAGAGGAAGAATTACTTCAATCATAGTAAAGAACATTTAATAATAATTGATATAGTTGAATTATTCCCATTAGTTAATTTAATATTTATTTATTTACATTATAGGTTTGATGACAATGAAGAAGCAGTCAAGATGGCTCAACTCTATTATAAAATGTGGAGTGTAAAGTAGTTTTTTTTTGCAGAGAAATTACATTAATTAAGTCTATTTTGTTACATTAATTACACTAATACATTAGTAAAGTTTGTTTTTTTGTTACATTATTTTATTTCACATTTTTACCAAATTCCGTGCATCACATAGGTCCCCGCTAGTATAATATAAAAAAGATACAGATAAGACATATAAGCTAACTCCTGTACTTATGAATAAACCAATAAGCACAAAGTTTGTTGAAAATTTGAAATCCACAAAGTCAAGTCCGAAGGAGGATGAGTGTAACCACCTCAGAAGCAGCCTGCAACGTAAATTTTTCAAAATCAGCATCCTTTTCTGCAATTTACACAATTCTATTTGGAATCAATGCCTAGTTGGGTTTTTGGACTTTTGGAGCCAATTTATTAGGAATGACAATTTTCCCAATCCCGCTTGTAATCTAATTAATTTGGTATATATTTGACATCGATGTCGCAGATACAATATTGTTTTATCATGTGTGGGTTGGAAGTGTCATTTTCTGAAAAAACAATATTTTTTTTTTGTTTGGAAGCATTGCTGGTATGATGTTTCCTAGAACAATAACAACGTTTTCTTCTTGATACCAATGCTACAGGAAACATTTTCATCATTGGTACCCATTATCCAGTGCCACGTCTCTGCCACCAAAGACCTCATGTCTTTGGTGGCAGCAATGAGCTGCAGATCTAGGAAATGCCAATTTTGACATTGCTCCAAATCATGCCTTTTCAATTTTCAAGGTATGACTTAAAGCACTATTTTTTATGAAAAAATGGTTACAAGGCGTTTTTTAGAGCACTATTTTTTCCGATGGCACTGATATGTTGCCGTTTTTAGAGTAATTGCATCGATGTCAAACATGGTGTTTATAAAAATTGTTCTTACAGCTCTACATCTACAAACCCTACATCTAGAAATATGTAGATGTTCCCTATACACGGCTAACAAGGGTTGTAATTAATAACAGTGTGATCATTGAATCTGCCCTCATCTCGCTCGGTACCCAGCCTCCCCAACCCGATCAGCTTGGGTATGGAGATTCCTCTGACCGGGCTGGGAGTGAAGTCACATCCTTGATCCGACTGTAATGTTTTAAATATTTTTATATATAATATATATTTTAAATTTTGAAAAATATAACTTCTATTAATTTTTTTAAATATTATTCATATGATATGTTCTTAAACAAATTGTATTCATTTCAATTCAAATAGACATTAACTAAATGTTAAACTAATTTAGGCTAATGAATTTCTTTTTTTTTTTTAAGTAAATCATTTTCAAAGCAAATTTTAAATTAAAAATAAAAAAAAATTGGGAAGTCAGCAATGGCGCTCCAAAACAAGATGTGGCCATATGATGGGTAGCCTTTTCAATATCATATTTTTCTGTCATTATAGATTTTCGATATGATTGAAACTCAGTTGCGAAAAATCACGGTGATTGAAACTCAGTTGCGAAAAAACTCAGTTGCGAAGTCAGCAAAAATGAGCATAACCAATAATGTAGATGGCTTAATAAGAGCATAGCATACAAAGTTGACGTGACTACAAAGTGGCCGTTTACTTTACGAGTTGAGTTGTTCAATATCCATACATTCTGTCATCTCTTTATCATCTTATTGTATTTAATATCTGAAATTGTTTTTTCTTTTATAGAAAATTCTAAGATCGTAGGTGAGATTATAAATCTTAATTATCACGTCGACGCTAATACAAGTGATTGGCTATTTGAATCCTTTTTTTTTTTTTTTTTTACCAATTGCACTTATCGACATTAACGGCCTTCGTCATCCCCATTACTATAATGGCGTCAAAAGGAATCTGATAACTCATTTTTGCTGTTCAGTAACATATTTAGCAACTTGCTTTCCTTTTTTTTCTTTATTTTTTTCTAAAGGCTGCGTTTGGAAGGAGATGATAAAGTGTTATCTTGTTTTCTCCTCTGATCACTAAATTCAAAACCCATTGACTAGACGGCTAATGTGGTTCCAAATTTTTTCTGGTTGTCTTCCTTCTCTCTATATAACACCGATTCATACACAGTCTACGATAAAGAAGAAACGAAGATGAACACATTGGTGGAGTGCAGGTCGATGCAAATCAAGATGATATCTGCAAGAGATCTGAAGGATGGTATAACCAATGTGTACGCCAAGGTTTCTTTGAGCAAAGATACATCAGAGAGGAGGTTCGAAACTAAGCCAGACGAGACTGGTGGGAACAACCCCAAGTGGGTTACTGAAATGAGCTTCCATGTCGAAGAGTCAAAGCTCCAATATAACAAAGTCAAGCTCGTCTTTGAGCTGTACGAGAAACGGTGTCCATTTATCTGCGATAAGAAGATAGGAAAGGTGAAGATCGCCTTGAAGGACCTCTTCAATAAGGGGACTGATGAGGAGTTTCGTCATGACCGTAACCTCTCAAAGAGAAAAGGAATAGTGGAGTTTTCGTATCGTTTCTCACCAGATATCACCGCTTATAGTCTTCCTGGTCCATTGAAGAGAGGGATGAAACTTGTCCTCAAGGCGACCTTAAAGATCATCTCTGGAGGAATCTGTTAGGAATCAGGTTGTGTTTATTTTATTTTGTTCTCTGTCTCTCTGGTGTGGTTATTTGTGGGAGAGAGAAACGCCCTACATGTGATTCTCTCTCTTTCTCCCTCCAATTGTCCAATTGTAGGGTCTCTCCGTTGTCTCTGTTATGTGTAATTGTGCGTGCAAGTCTGTAATATTATGATGTATGTGATCCTTCTTTGTAATTAATAACTAAGTTAAAAAAGTAAGAATAATAAAATATTTGTACTTTTAAAATGTTAAAAATTTTTAGGCTCCGACATTTCATTCAGTGTGACCAACCAGTTCAGTTGAAGCTTCATCTCTGTTATTAACTGAATTCACTAGAAAATCATATCCTTTACAACTGATTAATTAGGTAAAATTAAAAGAAATAACTGTTGTGTTTTAATTTCATAAGAGATTAAATTCAATGGGTTTGATGGATCAATTACATGAGAAAGTGCACCTACACACTTGATTAAAAAATTAGTTTTTTCTCTTATAAAATTCAGTTTTGAACTTATCCCACATTGGAAAATTATAAGTTTTGTTTTCATTATTTTAATATGAATTGAATTACACTTTTTAGAAATAGTAGATGAGAGTACGGGGTTTGATACTATGCAACACGCATGCACACGTGTGTGCGACGCTTTAGAGGCGCTTTAACACTCAACTATTTACATCAATTTTTAAAAATTTACAAGGAATTGGAACCATTTGGCCATTGATTGTGCCGTCAGTGGTTTGACCGTTCAGTCTGAATGGATGATTCGTTGCAATTTAAAAAAAATAAAAAAATAAAAATGGCTAAAACAGTTCTTTGGCTCAAGCTGATTGATAGTTCAAGGACTGGTTTTCAAGAAAAAACGTTCATGCTTTCAAGGCCCGTTTTTCAAAAAAAAAAAAAACGCTTCTATCACATAGGCAATGTGCAACACTATACTGTTTCGTAAGATGATTTTCATCACTGTTTTTCATGTATGTGCTGACAAGTAAGTATTACATAGGATACACATTAATCAACTGTTGGGGGAAATGGTTCACCGATATATGGGGTTTCATACTGCAGTGGGTCCTGATTTTCGAGGCATGCCCGAATTTTTAATAATCAGCACCAAACAATGAGATACATGGCCATTTGTTGAAATGCCTATGCGAATCTAACGTGACACCATTTTTTTGAAAAATGGCCATAATTCTAAGCATCCCATCAATCACCCAGGTCAATGAATTACTGACCAATTCAACAGTTCTTGGCAAGATTATGATTTGAGGTGAAAGGAAACCGGTTGAATAGCTAGACGATTTCTGGGCCAAACTGTCTAACTGCCGAGGTCAACGATGATTAGAAAACCATGATGAATTGAATGATACAACAAATATGGATGAGAAGTAGATGTGAGATGTCTTTCTTTATGTATTTTTTTTTCACAATTTATGATGTCAATTGATATAGATTAATCTCCATAAAACCCTTCTACGTCCAAATTCTGTATTATTGAGAAGGGGGCTAAAAAGAGTTATCGGATTCCTTTTGATGCCATTATATTAATGGGGATGACGAAAGCCGTTAATGTCGATAAGTGCAATGGTAAAGACAAAAACAGAAGATTCAAATAGCCAATCACTTGTATTAGCATCTACGTGATAACTAAGATTTGTAATCTGAACTACAATCTCATAATTTTCTATAAAAAAAAGAACCAATTAGATGATAAATATGTGATACAATGTATCGATATTGTGTTAGAGGGAGATTCAAAATTTCAAGAATTTTTTTTCTTTTCTTTCTTTTTTTTATTTTTGTTTTTTCATCTTTCCACCTTTGAGTGTATAGGAAGACTCCTTGTTTCACATATTTTAAAAAATGAGTGAAAGTAGAGTATATTTGTAGTTTTGCTTTTTTCTTTATGGGTAGGAATCCATAGGATGAGAGCACTATAGATATTTCATGCATGTGAGGGGGGAGGGGTTGGGGGTGTTTTTCACACATTGTGTTGGAGGGAAATTCAAAATTTCAAGAATCTCTCTCCTCTCTCTACTATTTTTCTTTTTTTTTTGTTTTTTTTTGAATGCATAGGAAGATTCATTGTTTCACATATTTTGAAAAATGAGTGGAAGTAGAGTATATTTGTAGTTTTGCAAAGATCCATAGGATGAGAGCACTATAGATATTTCATGCATGTGAAGGGGGAGAGGTTGGGGGTGCTTTTCACACACGTACGTTGAGCCGGGCCGGGCCCGGGGCGCGGATGCGTGCACGTGCGCGTGTGTGCGTAGGCTCCCAATTTAACATAGATCAATTCTCAACAAGTCTTCTTCTCTGTCCTCTCTGTAACCTAAGCATCACCTTTTTTGTGGTTCGAAGAGGTCTGATAAGCGCGTGCATGCCTACTAGTAACCTGTGGGTTGTTTTATCTTGACGACTAATTTGCGATCACCCGACTGGACCATAGGGGGCAAATGCGATTTTAAGGAGAGTGACCAAGTGGCACGACTCAGCCCTCTTCCCTGTAATTCACAGTCGAAACTCTACAACATCACGTCACCGCAACTTTGGCTTGGAAAGCAGTTATCAATAAGTTCCATTATGCCTTCTTTTTTATTTTTTACAATAATCTTAAAACTGCATTATGGAACCTATCCCTGGTAACCTTTTCATGAGGAACTAGATACTGTCAACAGTTCCCAACTTCTCTATGATTGAACCTTTCAAAGAAACCAACTATAAGCGTTGGAGACAACGCTTGGCTTTTGCCTTAGAATAGTTAGGGGTAGCCTTTGCTTTGAATGAAGGAACTAGCCCGTTCTCTTGTTGCAGAACACTAGACTACAACCGATCACCTCTACACCAACCATATCCTAAACTGTTTGTCCAATGAACTGTATAATGTTTATTCTTCATACAATTTTGCCTATGAAATATGGAATGCATTGAATAATAAGTATGCTTTGAAAAATGCCAAAAATAAGAAGTATGTAATTGCTAACTTCCTACACTTCACCATGAAAGAAGACATTGATGTATTTACCCAAATAGATGAGTTCTAGGTTCTTGTGGGGGAACTAGCAAAGAAAGGCATGATATTACCAGATGAATTCATTGCCGGTTCTCTCATAGAGAAACTGCCACATGGAGTGATTTCAATACTAGTCTGAAGCATAAGAGAAATGACACTAGTTTGAACCAAGTAGTGATATGAATTATGATAGAAGAAAAGAATAGAAAGAAAGTTGAGGACCAGTTTTCCAAAACCAATCTGGTGGAGGAAAAGACAACAAAATTCAAAAAGAATCTGAATGTAAAAAATGATCAGAAATTCAAAAAGCAAGAAAAGAAAAGAAATTGCTATTTATGTGGCAAATCTAAACATTACTAGAAGGATTACCGGTACCGAAAGGACCCTGGGAAATCGAAAATCAATTTGATTGAGGATGTTATTGCAGCCATGGTAACTGAGGTAAACTTACTTGATAAGTTGAAAGAGTGGGTATTGGACACTGGTGCTACCAAGCACATCCATGGGGACCGTAGTTCCTTCTATGAGTATACAACTCAGTTTGAAGGAGAGTAGGTTTTCATGGGAAACTCACAAACTTCAAAGGTTATTGATAAAGGAAAGGTGATTCTGAAACTGATTTAAAGAAAAATTCTAATGATAAATGATGTGTTGCATGTGTTGGAGATCTGACGGAACTTGGTATCAGGAGCACTCCTCAACAAAGTGGGACTAAAGCTCACATTAGAAGCAGACAAGGCCGTATTAACTAAGAATAATATTTTTATTGAAGAAGGAGGATTATTTATACTGAATGTTTTTGATATTATTATGAATAAAACAAGTTATTCTTCTGTTTATATTGCTGAATCTTTTGATATTTGGCATGCTAAACTAGGACATCGTAGTGCTCTTTATTTAAAACGATTATGTATGTGTAGAAGCAAAATTCACTAAGAAACCTGATAAAAATGTATAAAGAGAATCTGAATTACTACAAGTTATATATTATGATCTAGAAGACCTTAAATGTCATGAAGGTAGAGGAGAAAAAATATACTATATAACATTTACAGATGATTTCAATAGATATGCAAAAGTAGTTCTACTTAGATTAAAGGATAATGCTGATCAAGATTTCATAAACTACAAAACTGAAGTAGAAAATCAGATAGATAAGAAAATAAAAAACTCAGAACAGATAACTGAATATGATGGACAAACCATTAGGAAATTCTTTGAAAAAAATAGAATCATACATGAAACCATAGTCTCCTATCAACTTAAATTTAATGGAATTGTAGAAAGACTTAACAGAACACTAAAAGAAATGATGAATGCAATGTTGATTAATTCAAATGCACATCTGAATTGTGGGGGGAAACAATCCTAACAGCTTATCACCTATATAATAGAATACCACCTAAGAAGAAAGGACAAAAATTGCTCTCACCTGAATCTGTATTTGTATGATGGATATTTTTACAAATAAAACTTTTACACATTTACACAAAATATCCATAGTAATCTATGCTTAATATTCACATTTATACAAGTATTTTCATTACAAAAAAAAAAACAATAAAAGAGAATTGACAAAATTATCCTGGTTGCATCTGAAAATTTGCTTATATAAACATGAATCTCACTCAAGACATTCACTTTGGATTATAATCTTCGATCTGCCAAATCAACAAAGAATAAATACGTCATAAACCAAATGCAAAAGGTATTTGTGTTTTAATGATAAAATGACATAGAGATTCAGCTCACAATGATAACAAGGACTTGTACAGGTGTGTCATTGAATCCAAGTGGGAAGTGCTAGTTAGAATAAATGTCCTTTTTAGCTTATTTTGTTTTACCTTTCTCTCACATATATATGGAAATTTTTTCATGTAAAGGAGGCCTTCTTGTCTATCACTCTACATCTTTCTACAAGTACATCGATGAACTTTCTTGTTATCAATAAAAAGGGCATGGAGGCAAAACAATAAGAAGGCT